CAGGCATTATTTAAATATGATAGTCTATTTCATATTTCCAAAGAAAAGTATCCAGATTATTTTGATAAAATAATCAATCCAATGGAACTGAAAACAGTGATTAAGGTAAGATACAAGTTTATTCTTTTTCTGTTAAAATTTATTTTATTCTATATGATGTAAAAGCCATATTAAATCAAATAAAATTACACAAGGTTTTCAAAATAATGCCTGCAACATGCTTACACATATGGACTTCTATAGTCTATAATTCTTTTGCAAAAGAGATTTTTACTTGGAAGCTTGCATATCTATATATATAAAAATCAATGTTTGTATGTTTGTATGTCCGGTATACAAATTCACAGTAGTTCACTAATTCAAACGAAAATTTCCATACATAGGTAAAAAAATACGGGGAAGACGATAGGCTGTTTTAAAAAATATATAAATCAATTATTAAAACTATATATTAAAATTATTCTACTTAGCTCACGAACAGCGCCCTCTATCAAAGATTCGATTAAATTATGCTGATGCAAACAAATAGATAATGCTAATAACAAACAATTATTTAAAAAAATCTTATCTAAATATATATCACTCGGATAGATATGCACACGGGTCAATCCCGGGGCAAAGCCTGGGTCACCCGTCTAGTTTTATATAAAACAAGATACTCTTTGTGAAAACTTTTTGTTAGGTTTTGAAAACCTTTTATTTGATATAATATGACTTGTATTTTGAAATTTTTATGTCAAAGTTTTTTTTTGTTGATTTATACAGAAAAATAAAAATAGAAGCTATTCCAATTCCAAAGCCCTTATGTCAGAAGTGAAATGGATCTACCATAACTCCTTTATCTATTTTGGAGGTAAGTTGTCTTAAATTATTTTTAAAAAATCTAATTAAATAGTGGAAAAAAAAAACATTTTACATAAATGTATACCCTCAAGTGCACAAAAATGACTGAAATATTTTAAGCATATTTTATTTTATTAAAGTATAAATTTTTAAATTTTGAGTAATTTTTTTTTTTTCAAGGGATTTATATTTCTCTTTATTTACAAAAGCAGAATAAATTGAAATTAAATTTCTCAAAGTTACTTAAATTTCCATCTATTTAATAAGCTAACATATACTTTTAAATCAAATAAAATTTTGGATATCATAATATTGTCGCGTGCTGACCCCTCCGGATTCTTCGCAACTACGCCGCTTCTTCCTTTGTGGATCACCTACCCGGGTTCCCATTGCACTCCCTCTGCAGCTCTTCCCTGAAGAGCACCCAAGGACTTCCGAAAACCACCACTAAAGTGGAACTCCTTTCCTCTGGCAGTATCTCTCGGCCTTACCACTGGTGGGGGGGACACGAGAGACTTACCAGAAGAGTAGCAGCAGCGATGTCGGCGAGAGAGTCATGACAGCAACCGGCAACAAGACTTCAAACACTCCTTTTATTGTCACTTCTACTACACATTACATATAACTAGAATAACATTCAACCGGTATTTACATTTATTTACATACCAGAGCCAATATAAACATCTATTTACAACTATTTGCTCTTGGAAACAGTAACACAGCAGTCGGCGATTCTCACACAAGTTGCATACCAGAAATAGGCGAAAGTGCCATCTATTAGCGGAGGTTGTAGGAGTTTTGTGGCCTTATACGCGACACTGCCTCCCTCGTTCCTGTCGCCATGATGGCATATTTCTCTCGCTGGTGCCGCTTCTCTTTCTGGAACTGCCTTTCTCGCTGAAGTCGCCTCTCCCGCTGGAGTCGCCTCTCTTGATGGAACCGCCTTTTTCGCTGGAATCGCCCTTTTGCCGGAGCTGTCCTCACCGGAATCACTCCTTTCGCCAGAGCCGCTTCTCACGTCGGAGTCGCCCCTCTCGCCAGGACCACTTCTCTCGCGGCATTGCTCGCCGGCACCGCTTCTCTCGCTGGCACCATTTCTCCCGAGGGCACCACTTCTCTCACCGGCACCGTTTCTTTCGCTGGGGCTGCTTCATTCGGGGCTCTGCTTGAAGCAGATTCAGGGTCTGTCCTGGAGGTTCCACAATCAGGCCTTTTACTCTATGGAATTCCTCCATGTGACCCGGCTCAACCTCCAGCCTCCGGGACTTCGCCCGGCCCTCGCCGACATCACTTCCCAAGGTTGACTGGGTCGTACTTGGCTCCCTCTGTAAATAACCCTTCATTTCAGACAGTAACTGCTGTATCTCTTTGCCTCTAAGACACCTTCTCTCTCTCTTTACTCACTTTCTTTTTCTAGAAGTAGCCATTCTTCCTCTCTTCAGCGTTTTAATTCGTCCCTCTCCTCCTGATATCCCTGTAGCTTCCGGATGATCTCGGCCAGCGAGTCCTGCTCAGCAGCCATCCCTTGGCCTCTCATGTCAATGGGCCTTTTGTCCGCAACTAAAAACTCTAAAAGAGCTCCCTGGTGACCTCCACAAGGAAGAATCCCACTTCTGACACCAGTGTCGTGTGCTGACCCCTCCGGACTCTCTTGCCAACATCACTGATGCTACTCTTCTGGTAAGTCTCTCGTGTCCCCCCACCAGTGGTAAGGCCGAGAGATACTGCCAGAGGAAAGGAGTTCCACTTTAGTGGTGGTTGTCGGAGGTCCTTGGGTGCTCTGCAGGGAAGAGCTGCAGAGGGAGAGCAACAGGAGCCCGGGTAGGTGATCCATGAAGGAAGAAGCGGCGTAGTCGCAAAGAATCCAGAGGGGTCAGCACGCGACATATATATATATATATGATAATTTGAACAAACAACCCCTTATTGGTGTAACATTACAAGATTCTATGATGAATGTGTTGTATAATAGAAACACCTTTGTAACTAATTATACGCATGTTATACATGAACCATTGCATCACAATATGTAATGTACTCTGTACAAACTGGAGATAATAAAATAAAGCTGTATAATAGAATAAGAGTGAGTTAAATAACAGAAAGTGAGATATAGAAGTCCAACAACATGTAAGAATGAGACTAAAGATGTCAGAACTTTCCAGAAGGTCGTAAAGAGTGTACAATGACCTCTCTTTCTTGACCCCCCCAATATTACGTTGGACGAATGCCCAGTACTTCCGCATCTGTGACTATAAAAATCCCTAGAACCCGAAATAGATCACCACTTCCAAGTCTGCAGGAGCGTATGTCAGTCCAACTCCTTTGATGCCACCATATATAGAACATTAAGAAACCGCTATTTAATCTTCTCCATCTTTCTGCTTGGCTCTTTCTTTTCACGGAACTCTCCCTGTGCAACTATGTCTTTCGTTCTTTGTGTGGACAATCCCAAGTCTTCTATTCTGCCTCGAACATGACTGCCTGTACTCTGTGAGAACTGTGAAAATTCTTCCAAGGTGCAGAGATGTATTGGAAAGCTCTCCACACCTGCCTGTCCTCTCGGTTACCACATATATATAAGACATACTCTATAATTACATTCTAAATATTTATCTTAGTTATGAATCACATATTAAAATAGGATGAACAAATTGCTTTTATATGCACATTTACTTTTAATATATCAATAACATATTTTCAAAATGGTTTATATATGATAATTATTTTAAATAAGTGTAAATTATATAAATAAAGCCTTGAAATAAAGTCTCATGATAGTAGATGACCATTTAGGCAATTAATAAACGATTTCATATAAATATCTATGTTAAAAATTGAGCAATCTATTTTAAATTCAATAAATAAAATGTCTATCTTGGATCAATAACAATTATTTTAAAAAATTGAAGAGGCTATTTGCCCATCTTCTTAAATCAAAGTTCTTGTAAGTCTAATCCACATGATGCATGCATTATTATAGAGAAAGCTTGTTGCTGTGACCTAACCATTCAATATAAATCTTTATTTCTTCAGAAATAAAATGCTATATACAGTCTAACCTCTTCAATTTAACACCCCAATGGGTCAGGACTTTTGATTGAATTTAAACGATTTAGATGATTTCATCACACTTTCATTTCTAGTAAGAATTTTTCTATGAAAAAAAATAAATAATTAAAGTGATAATTTTAGAAAATACTTTTGTAACATATTTTAATTAGAAATGTGAATTAATGCCATTAGGACTTTTTATTTTCAGAATGTTTCAAGATCAACTTTTAGGGATGGATAAAATTGCATTAATACATTCTTAAACAAAGGAAAAATTACAAATACTATTTTAATATAAGTGTATGCAATAGGATGAAAACAAATTAATTTAGAAAAAAAAAGAAGTCTAAACAATTTATATTACTTATTAAGACACCTTATTGTTTACATTGTGACTAGTGCATGCTTGAGTTAGGCCTAAATTGTTTAGGAGTAAACAAATCACTCGTCATGTTAGCGCCAATATTTGCGGCATATTTTAAAACTTTTAAGCGCTGTGCGCATACGGCAATATTTGCGGCACATTTTTAAATTTTAAGTGCGGAGCGCATACACCAACTACAGTCGTTGTGCGCTGCATGTCAACATATTGTATTTTAACAAAAATTATCTAATGTTGAAATTGGATTTTTAAAAAATCAGTAGAATTATTGTTAGTGTAGAATTAACATTTGCTATTTGATAAACTGGAGGTCTGGACATTAAAATATCGTCAAATATCGGGTATCGAATTAATGAGGTTATACTGTATATATGACTACACTTGTTTTAGCTGTAGGTATGATTGTGGTATGCCTACTTTTCTATCCCATGTAAGCCATGTGCATCTTCCTACATTGGCAAATCTGTAAAACCCCTAAAAGAAAGAATCAATCAACACAAAAGGCAGCCTTCAAAATTATAGCCTTTTATCACTACTGGTAAACTACGCAATTTAACAAGGATATATTTGTAAAACGACATTTAAAAATTATCCCGCATGAGTTTCTTTTCAATGAAAAATCAAAATTTATTTAAAGGAGAAATAACGATTATTTCAAACCTTAAAGATGAGGTATGAAAGGATGAATTGTGAAGAGTAATGATAAACGGAAAAATATAAGTGTCCAGTGATGGGAATCGAACCCACAGTGTTCCGCTTACCGGGCAGATGCCATGTCCACTAGGCTACCCTGGACATATTTTTCCGTTCGTAAATAATACATAAAGTAAATAAATAAATAAATAAATTACTTTATGTATTATTTACGAAGGGAAAAATATGTCCAGGGTAGCCTAGTGGACATGGCATCTGCCCGGTAAGCGGAACACTGTGGGTTCGATTCCCATCCCTGGACACTTTTATTTTTCCGTTTATCATTACTCTTCACAATTCATCCTTTCATACCTCATCTTTAAGGTTTGAAATAATCGTTATTTCTCCTTTAAATAAATTTTGATTTTTCATTGAAAAGAAACTCATACGGGATAATTTTTAAATGTCGTTTTACAATCACAAGCCGCATTATATTACAGTCGAACCTCTTTAATTCAACACCCCAAGGGATCAGAGCTTTCGGTTGAATTAAAGGAAGTGTTGAATTAAGGTGAGATATGATTAGGTAATCATCTAACTCGCTAAAATAATATTTTTTTAAAATAGCCTTGTAATATAAATTAATTATATTAATTGAAACCATTGTGTGTTTTTATTTTATTTTCATGATTAACTTTTAGTATCAATGACAAAATGGCATTAATACATATTTTAGAAACATAAATAATTGTAACAAATAAATTTACTGGTAATGTGTTTCTTTTCAGTAATATAATCAAATATTAACTCTACAGACATTAAAATATTAAATATAATATATTGAATAATATTTATTCTAATTGAAAAATATGGCAGTTGCAAGGAAATAAATATCGTAAATAAAAAGAAAATTTTAAAATATTATTTTAAAATAATCATGAAGATCTCTTTAAAAATTCCTTTATAGATATCTGTTTTTGCACTGAAATCCTATTCAGGATGTATTCCAGATGGTCATTTTGAAAAAAATATGCATGCCTTTCTTCCTCTGAAATGTCTTTTAATAAATAAATTTTACTGTATTAAAGTCATCCACTGCTGCTGCAGGTGTTATTGATTTTGTGTTTAAATCTTTTATAATAACACAGAAATAGAATATTGAAATAAAATGTTATCATAATCATTGTGGCTACATTTTATAAAGATTTATTTATTTAAAAGGATATAATTTGTAAATTTTGAAATAACTAAAATATTTAAATGCTGAAATTTAAAAATAAAATATTATTGTTAATTAGCGCACGAAGCCTAAATCCCAGCATAAAAAAAAAAACAATAACACTCGCGACATTGCGCAACGGCACTGCAAAGTGAAACTTAAACTAACCAGGAACCAAAAGTGCGCGCGCGCGATCCTATCGGCGCCCGCCGATCGCCGCCGTAATACCTTTTTGGCGGAAAGTTGTAAGTAAAAAACATTCAACTGTCGAAATTCGAATTTTAAAATGGTCGAACTATCGGAAGTGTCGTATTATCGATATGTCGAATTACGGTTTGTTATTTGATAGGCCGGAGGTCGGGACATCAGAACATGGTCGAATTATCGCCGAGTGTCGAATTGGGGTGTGTCGAATTAACGAGGTTATACTGTATATTGCATTAAGGATATATTTATAAGATTTTGAAATTTCAAAAGTTTTATTTACACACAAGATATACAAGATTATTTCTGGAGAGCTGGGCATTTATATAAGACAAAAATAGCATCAATAGGAAGATAGATATACCACAATCATACCTACAACTAAGACAAGTGTAATCAAATATAAATGGTATCAAATATATGGTGGTTTTCCACAGGGGAATAACGAGCACACTTGGATGGGATAGAAAATAGACCTTGCAAAAGGGAGAGTGATGAGACTGGATGAGGTACTTTGCCTTTCACATGATGGAGAGGACACTACCTTGGTTGGAGCCTAAGTTGAGCACACCTTGCTTCTAGCATGGTCACCTACCTTCCTTTTTTAACTTCCTGTCCGAGATCATCGTCATTAACTCTCTAGACTTCTCATTGGTGGAGATCCTTCCACGTGCTCTCTGATGATTTGCTATCAGTTTGTCATCCTTAAAGGTGATTGGTTATTGATTTGTCATGCTTAACTGTGATTGGCTTAGTACCTCCATTGTCGCCATGATTGCAATCTTCCAGGAAGAAGAAGGTCTTTGAACTTAAGTTTTATGGGTCCTGGGCAGTGACCTTTACTTCCTGGATGATGCAATCCTGTTAATTGTTATTCCCTTTTTCGCGAAGCCTAACTTTTATTAAATCTTTTACGATACATTGCATAAATTGTGGTGGGGTTACATATTGCTATATACAGATTATCACATATATATATATATCTGCTTGATCTAAAATAACACTTTTCATGCATCACAAGAAATTTGAATCCCAGAAAAAATGGGGAACAGACTTCTCAAAATATTGAATTTTTAAAATGTGATTATATATATACATACATACACATGTGTTTGAAAATAGAGCAATCCATATATTATATTATTTTAAAAAGCCTATTTTGGATCATAAAGTTCTATTTCCAATATTTCGTGTGGCAACTCGCCAAACTTCTTCGGGGAACTTCTTCCCTGAAGAAGTTTGGCGAGTTGCCACACGAAATATTGGAACTAGAACTTTATGATTCAAAATAGGCATTTTAAAATAATAAATACACATATATAAACATTGCGGAATGATATTTAAAAAAAATCTTATTCTTGTGTAATATTTTAATTTTAACCACTTATCTTTGTTTATTCCAGTTAACCATGCCATAACTTTGGCTGCCAAGAAATTGGTCAATATGCTAAAAGCCAGCATCCTGGACATTGACAATTGCCCAGAATGTTTCTTAAGGTCCAAAAATGGAACACAGGATTGGTTTACAACACCTTGTGTAAGTAAATTTGTTTAACCTTTGTTAATTTTTAATAATAATATTTATAATATGATGCACTAGCGCGCCATCTGTTATCAAAATTCAAAACTATTTTAAAGGCGTAAGATTCTTTTTGATATTAAACAATTTCTACTGCCCTTACTGCAATGGGAAAATTAATGAGAGGGCCTGACTCATCAGTGGTGAACCGTATCACTATAAAAGGAAGTTCCAAAAATGCAATATAACAGCGGTATGGTAGATTAAACTGGCGAAACCGCTGAGAGGGTTCACCACTGATGAGCCAGGCCCTCTCATTAATTTTCCCATTGCAGTAAGTGCAGTAGAAATTGTTTAATATCAAAAAGAATCTTACGCCTTTAAAATAGTTTTGAATTTTAATAATAATATTAATAATTTTGCTGTGTGCCTATTTTCTTGGACATATCTCTGTATAATATATTTATAGCTCTCTCTTTAAAGGAAGTCAAAAAGTGCACCATTAAAGGAATCAAGATGAAAAGAAATTATCAGAATTAACTCTTAGCTGCATTCAATTCTAATTGCTAAGCTTTATTTTTATAAATATATATTTCTGATTGAACAATGAAGATATAAAAGTTGGTAGGGATGTGTAGCTAACTAATATGGAGATATAGAAGTAAAAAAAAAAAGATGTATATATATACTTTTGTTAATAATCCTGTTACTTTAAAACCTATCTTGGGAGTTTCCATTTGGTTCCACGCAAAAATACTCTAAAGACAGTTGACTAAAATTGATAATAATTAAGCCTAAATTTCTTTCTTATCAAATATAGTATTGATATTTTATATATCGGCAATCTAACAGAGTGCTAAAATTACTTCCAGTACTCTATATGTGGGCATGCTAGTATGTTTTTTTTTCTAAAAATAATCCATTTAAAAAAATGCCTAAAATGGGCTATAATTCTTTTGATAATTGCTCATTATTTTCTGATCAGCTGGTATAGTGTATATATATATATATTTTTTTTGCTTATCCCTAGTACACGTGGTACAGGCCATGATAATCATGGTGGGTAGTTAGCGACTGCTTTTTACTGTAAGCGCACCACATGTCTACACATGTGAAAAGCAGTTTGACTTTGCACTTACAAATGCCAGAGCCCCGTTTGGTTACTTGCACTCGCTGGTGGGGTTGGACTTTTGCAAGAATCGGGGGCCATTGGAGCATTTTTTTTTTAAACAGAAAAAAGTGCCCAATGCGGGAATCGAACCCGGGTCCTAGTGGACGAAAACCAAACGGTTTACCCAGCCTTCCACCGACCCCCGTATATATAATATAACTAATATAAAAGATGTTAATGTATATATATGTGAATGCTTTATTTCAATTTTTTGGGTTGATTATAAAATATACATATAGAAAGCTTTAATATCCAAGAATGTAAAATGGAAGGATTTAAAAGCACGAATGTTTATTTTATACATAATACAAATACGCTCTGACAAGCGGTCTGGTGGATTAAATTGGCGAAACCGCTGGGAGGGTTCATCACTGATGAGCCAAGCCCTCCCAATATATTTTTTCATCGCAGTAAAGGCAGTAGAAGTTTGTATTATGTATAAAAGAAACATTCGTGCTTTTAAATCCTTCCATTTTATATGTATAGATGGCGCGTTATTGCTTTGTGTTAATGCAAGAATGTATTTAAAATATAAATTTTGTTTTGAGAGAAAAAATTCCTAAATAATAGAATTCTTTTATAAATACTGTTTCTGTTTAAAAATGTAAATCAACGCAATTATCCCTAGCTGGGATATCGCGTTTTGTATGTTGAAATAAATAAATTCATAAATGCTGTAAAGGTAATTTAAAAAATAATACATATAAATATGTTAAATGCTATAAATATACCATTTATAATAATAAACTACGTTAAATTTTTAAGTAGCTGAAAAAAAATAACTTTTCAGGGATATCTATTTTGCCTAAATTGATAATTTGGGCCACCAATTTTTTTGTTATTTATTTGTCCTATGCCTTGACATTTATTATCTAATTGCAGTAAATGAAATCACTTGCTTTCGGGGAAAAAATAAATATTTTCTCTATATAGATCAATTTTAAAATGTACTTATCTCAAGGATTTAATAAAATTGATTTATATTTAAATTTAATATATGGGACTTCTAATGTGTATATTGGTCTTCTTTTTTCATCTATAAATGAATTG